CCGGTCCACCCTGACGGCCTCGTGCATGGGCACCTCCTCGGCCTCGTCCACCCTCAGCCAGGCCAGAAAGCGGAAGATGCTCCACCAGCTGGTGGCGCCAGCCTCCGCCAATCTGTACTTCGACGACGACACCAAGTTCAAGGGGCAGTTCAAGGACCGCCTCGACTGCTACGACATGGACAAGATCGTCACCTGGGCCACGTCTGGTGCGTCGGCTACGGCGCCTGTACGCCGGCCTGGGGGTTCGCGGCGGGACGTCCTCCTCAACGACGTCATGGCAGTACAACGCCCGGAAGCACGAAGGCTTCGGAACCACTTCCAACACCGCCTAGACTTTTCTGTGAGCAAGAGTCATGAACGCTTCGGAGACTTTTCATCAGGATAGGTGGAGGTCAAGCCGCGGGAAGGCAGGGTCACGGAGCAAGCTTGGAGTTGGAAGAGCTACCCAGTGTCTGCGATCGAGTACTCCGAGATGGGACCTCTCTTCACGCTATGGAGCTGAAACAGTCCCAAACCCAACGGACAAGATGTAAGAAACGCAGCTGCGGCAAAAGAACCGCGCAGACAGACTCCCTACCATCTGAAACCTTTTTTTCGCTGTGCATTCAAAAGTCTCTGTTCTCGCGGTTGGAGGCGCTCTGGCCTGCCGTGCATTCAAAAGTCTCTTTCGTGCGTTCTACCGGTTCGAGCGGTCTGGCCTGCCGTGCAGGAACATCATGATGCGGGAGAACGGCTCGCTGTTCGGATTGAACCAGGCTCGCGTCGCAGGTCTTCGCTGTTGCGCCAGTGCAGTTGTACTTGTGCTAGTCCAGCTGGCAGACCTTGTCGTTGAACGGCGAGAGCGCTTTCTTTATCTTCTAAGCCACTCTTCGCCCGAAGGCATGGAGCCCATACAGGTTGCTTTCCATCGCCGCGAAGCTGGTGTTCAGGATCCGCTGCGTTTGCAGCACCTCCAAGCAGTTGAAGTGGGTCAGCTGCCTCTGCACCCGGCCGGGCACCCTTGGCGTGCATCTCCCACTCCTCCTCGCCGTCCAGCAGGAAGCTGTAGACCTTGGCGCACAGCCACCAATCTCGACGATGTGGCGCGGGTGGACTCCAGCCCGAAGCCGCCGCCGTCGAAGATGCAGGAGTGCGCGCCGGGCACAGGTTCGCGGCGAGCAGGTGGATCGGGTCCTGCGGCGTCGGGTCGGGATTCAGTAGCTCGCAGAGTCGGTGTCGGTCTTCAGGACGACCGCCTGCGGACCCTCCACCCCCACTGCTCTTGCAGCGTGAAGTCGAAGTCGCATACGTTCTGCACCAGCCAGCTTACCGTAGATCGAGTTCATCCCCAGGAAGGGTACTTCTCGGTCTTGCACTCCCGGATCATCGAGTGTACTCCTCAGCTGGTCTGGTCGCGGCGGACCGCCATGCGCGCGGGAGGCGCCCAGTCCAGGCGGTCGTGCGTGGCGTCAAGCTGCGTCATCACCGCTGGATACATGCTGTTCACGTCCAGGCTGACGATGTGGCTCGGGTCCAGCTCCTCGTTCGCCTCCACGTTGTCCCTGGCGTAGGGCTGGAAGACCGCGCTCAGGCCGCGCCCATCAGCGTGCCGCGGATCGTGCCGTAGACGCTCTCGTCGGTGATCAGTTTGATCGGCGCGCGCACCGCTTCAGCATCGCAGCCCAGGCCGCGCCGGGGAGGGTCACGTACTGCATGGGATCCAGCCGGAAGCGCTCGAAGAACGCGGTGCGGAACTGCTCCATGACGTCTGTCTGCCAGGACCATGTCCATGTGCAGGTAGCAGTCGTGGT